TTCTTCCCCCCCCCCCTACTTTCATCCACCCACCCACCCAAGTGACGCTTGATTGGAAGTAAAAGAATTAAACTATACAGATCGCCGTCACCTACTTCATTCTCAAACCTTTTTATTCACTCCTATGACATCCAAACCCATACAGTGTCATGCAAACACATGTTCATGGACTAATTACCTCTGTGCAGATGTTCTTGTTCGCTTCCAATCGACCCAACTCGGCAGTGACAGCATCCTGAGCGTTGTTCAGCTCTTGCACACATAAATGCATTTTGTACAACATGATTTCCGTGCATCGTTTGATAGCCACATTGAAACTGATCACATTGTGATTCAATGCGGTCCCACCGACAGAGCCGCTACTACCACTCAAAGGGCCCGGGAGAGGTACTCCATCACCATCATCAAACGGTAGTACAGTTGCCTGGGTTGTGAGGACTGCGGTGTTTAATGTGGGAGAACTGGTGCTACCGCCACAAGTGAGCTGAGATGCGTGACTACGACCGCGACATTCGGTGCAGAAAACCACATCACAAGTCTCACAGAATAACAGTTCTTGATTGACGTGAATTCGACACTTGGGTACAACATCACGGCGTTGTGTAGCGAGCAAATCCAATAGTTGATTCACAATAAATGCGGGAGGAAATGCAGATGCACCGCCACCACCGTTCGGAATGGCGATTGTCTCACGGCATATTGGACAACGAAATGAACTGGACTGAGTCTGTGAGCAGTTAAAAAACCAAATGTATGAGAAACGATCAGAAGAGATTATATAAACGCGGAAAAAGCAGACCTAATCCCCCTCCCAAACAAAAAGTCCGTTGGTTAGTCTGAAAGTAAGTATCCTGATAAAAAAACTAGTAAGATAACAATGTATGCGGGGATCTGAGGTGAAGAGGCGTTGCACAGGATAGAGAACAATTTTGCTTCATTAAAATGTACTGCTAAAAGCAATGATCAATCGCCACGTAGTCGCTTGTCAGTTATACATCACTCAGCGTGATTATTGGGCAGTTAGATCCCGGATCACTCAGACCGCGACCGAGCAGAAACGAAACTTTTTCAATACTCGTTAATACTCATACACACGTCATTATTCATAGTGATCTTTTTACTTTCGCATTGTTCTATACGGAAACAAAGGTGCAATGAATAAGCAAGGGAACTGAGGCGAATTGAAAGTAGAAAAGCAACAAATGGGAAAAGATAGAGTAACGCTTTGTTCCTGCCAACAATGTTCTGAAAGCGGGAGTAACTTGCCGTATGCCAATCCACGAGTAGGCTTGCAAAGTGAACAACGGTGAATTACAGCTGTCGGCAAATATGGTAAACCACTTTACATCGTCCACGAGAAGCGATTGTGTCTCACAATCAGCTAACTGTTTTTTTTTGCTTCAAAGACAATTGGATTACTAGGCGGTACCGTGAGTGCTTCAATGTGGTAGAGGTAAATCTAAAGTTTGCCGTTGCACAAAAGCTTCATGCTCAACACTGACTACGATGATGCAGCTCAAAAGGTAGACAAAACTGTGCAGCACTTCTAACCGAGCACCCCGACGAATGACAGTACATATATGTATCGGTAAAGCTTGGAGAAGAGCATGGCGTTCTGACAGAACCAAAAGCGTACTACAAGATGAGACCTGAGACAGGCTAGAGTGCATTAGTTACCACCGAACAAGCCACATGATCGGTACACTAGAAGCTAGCTAGTCTGGTTTCAGAGAGAAATTCGACTCTGCCATTGACTGGATCAAATAATGTTTCTATAATAATTTTCATAGAATTGTTATCAGGAGTGTTGTGCCTGTAGAAGGTAAACAGTTGACCATACACTCCAGTCGGATCCATTATGTGACGAGGATGTGCCTCCAGTAAGCGAAAGCAATTCCACAGTTCGCGTGCGGAATAATAAAAAACCCATAACGAATGACCAAACACAATTTCAGATCACTCGGTATCTGTGGAATAGCCGGGACATTTTATCCACTTTTACAGATAAAGCAGAACAGTAAATGACGAGTATCAAAAAGAAACCGATCTAAAATAGAGAAATCAGTATTCATAGTTAAATCATTTATACACGCCAGCGAAACCAAAAATATTGTCACACATGCCAATTGAGATGTAGCTAAATTACAGTGAACATAAATCATGCGCCTGTCTTTTTTAACAACCAATTCTGCTCATAATTAAGGTGAATGAGAGATAAGTCACTTCGTTCCTATTTCGCATATTACAGTTGCAGTGAATGCACACGTTACTGTACACCGAAGCACATTGGTTCACCCAAAACGGACAGATGAACAGTGAAAAAATAAGATTTTAGTCTGAAAGAACCGTTGCCAAAAAGTACGCAACCCACCTGTGTTTCCAAAATTCGATCCAGACACGATCGGCAAATGGTGTGTGAACAGGGTAACAGTTTGGCTGCTCGCTCCTGTGTATCATATCCCGTAAAACATGTGCCACAAGTGAGGAAACTGTCCGCAAAATCGTCCACATTGATCATGACCGTTTCCACGAGCCGAGAGGCCATCTGAAGGAGAACGGGAGAAGTAATTTGCCAAAAGAAAAACGACTACAATTCGAAAATGTTTACCGACCATGAACAATAGTAAAATTCTGTTCCCAATTACAACAATGATACTCAAAGTTTTGTTAATAAAATCCCCACAGACCAACTAATCGCGGTTGATTGATGCAAGTAAAGGCTGGATATGAAAACTTCTAAAAGCCTCAATATGGTCAGGGTTGCGGTGCATCAAAATTACTCAGAGAGCTTCTGTTGAGGAAGCTCTACTCAATGCCTTATTGTGGCGGAGGTATAATCCACAAAAGAGAGGACTAAAATCAAACAACCGGGACNAACTCCTCCCAGAGAACGGAGTCCTTGGAATATGCTGATGACATTGCCTTGCTTGGTGACAACACAGACAGTGCAAAATGG